CAGCCTTTGTCAGTCATGAGCAGGTTGGACACCTTCAGGTCCCTGCCGGGGAGCAGAACGGCTGGTCAGCACTGTCCATCAGGGCTCAGAACGGTTTGGTTGTGAAGGGACCTCCCAGCCCACCCAGTGCCACCCCTGCCATGGGCAGGGACACCCTCCACTAGCCCAGGTTGCCCAAAGCCCCATCCAACCTGGCCTTGAGCACTGCCAGGGCGCCAGGGGCAGCCACAGCTTCTCTGGGCACCCTGTGCCAGGGCCTCAGCACCCTCCCAGGGAAGGATTTCTGCCTCCCATCCCATCTCCATCTGCCCTCCTGCAGCTTCAGGCCATTCCCCTTGGCCTGTCCCTCCCTGCCCTTGTCACCAGCCCCTCTCCAGCTTTCCTGGAGCCCCTGCAGGTACCTGTGCTTCCCCAGGGCTCACACGCAGCTGCAGAGCCCCAGAGCTGAGCCAACCCAAAGAAAACCAAATCTTCTCATCTGGTGGCCTCCCTGCCCCGCCAGCGTGCCCACAGGGAACCACCGATTCACCCCCAGCTGCTCCACACAGCGCTCCTGGCTCGCAGGACACGGGAGGTGAAGAATCGCACCACGGTTTGAGGATCCCTTCTCCCTGAGCACCCTTTCCCACCGCGTCCATCCTGCTGCTCCCACCTGTGGATGATGTAGTTCTCATGAAGATACTGCAGGCCCTTGAGGACTTGCAGGATGATGCACTTGACCTGGAGACAAAGGACAGGAACACCGACCTCTGTGAGAGCAGCATCCACCAGGCAAACGCCCAGAGGTTAAGCCCACTCGGGTGCCCTGCAGTCTGGACGCCTGTCACTGTAGCGTGTCAGACCCCGTGTCCTCCCCAGGTAGCTCAGAGGCTGTCTAGGGACACGTTTTCTCCCAGCTCTCTCTTCCTGCCAGTTTGTTCCAGCCCAAAAATCAGCCTGGAAAGCCCCTGGAGCGTTCTGTGAGAGCCAGCTAAGCCCATGCTCCCCATGCAGCCCAGGAATCCTGGCTCAGCCCGCGCTCCCCAGCACAAGGTCCGGGGATCACAAAGCCTGGGGAGTCCACGCTGGTGGCCAGTGTGGCGGCAGCACCTTCTCAGGGGTGATGTACCTAAAGCTTAGCCCAACTTTTACCTGAGCTTCTGAAAAAGGCGTCTGCATGTTCTCGAGAAGGCTGGCGAGGTCCTGCTCGCAGTATCCCATCACCAGGAAAATGCTGTCGTAGACAAGACAGAGTCAGGAGCCTCCCCGTGATACCTCTGCGGTGTCCCAGCGCAGGTCCGTGCCACCAGAGGTGGCTCAGGGCACCGTGGAGAGGCAGGGAGGGCAGGAGACGATGGGAGGGTAGAATGGGGACTCTCACCTCTCCAGATGGTTCCCTACAACCACCTCCTTCAGCTCCACAATGTTGGGGTGGCGAAGCTGCAGGAGCAGGGTGATCTCCCGCAGGCTGCTGATGGGCA